TGTTGAGGTAAACACCTTGGTGACTAGCTCGAGGACGTAATCACTGAAGAAGCAATCCCCAGTGTACTCCAAATCAATATGTTTGACCAAGTTTTTCAAGTCGTCCATCTGTAAAAATTGATTGCATTAAAAATCACCTGTGAATCCAAAAGTATCAACAAAGCCGTGTGCATGACCGGTAAAAATAGCAGTCCAAAAAATCCACATCAAACAAATTGTAAAGCAAAAACTGTTTCCAGGATGCCTACTGTTTGATGAACTCTTTCGGAATTTTTGAAGCATGATTTCATGCGTAAACACAGTTGCGTAATGTTGTTTGAAGAAACTGTTTTATCAGCTTAAAGTCTTCCAGCATGCAGTCTACTTCAGCTTACGGCCATATCATGTTGAGCACACCGGTTCTCGTCCGATCACCGAAGTTAAGCAACATCGAGCCGAGTCAGTACTTGGGAGGGTGACCACCTGGGAACACTCGGTGCCGTAAGCTTTTTGCTTCATCTTTCTTTTTATTACGAATTGCTAATTAAAAAGTTTGTAGTTTATCTGATAACTCCAGAAAATTTTTATTTTATCACAAAAAAAATGAACTAACAGTTTTTGGCCCAAAAACGTCATCTACTAATAGTGCCGCTGAAAAGTTGTTTACATTTTCTGTTTGAAAATTATTTGTTCATTTGAANTTGTAGTTTATCTGATAACTCCAGAAAATTTTTATTTTATCACAAAAAAAATGAGCTAACAGTTTTTGGCCCAGAAACGTCATCTAATGATAGTGCCGCTGAAAAGTTGTTTACATTTTCTGTTTGAAAATTATTTGTTCATTTGAAAACCAGAAAATACTAAAATGTCCAACTTACCACCGGCCCTAGCAGCTCGCCTTGCCAAGCGAGGGATTATTCCACAGGCCAAAGTAACACAACCTGAACCTCAATTCGGCAAGTGAATGTTTAGTACACTCAGTACACAACTAATTCTTTTTTTCCAACAGAAGTTCATGAGGAAGAAGAAGTCATTGCTGAGGATTATGATGATGTTAGCAAGCCCGACTCGAAAGCCAACGTCCCTCAGTTTGATGTTAAAATCTGCAACACTGTACCGGGCTGTCCAAACAAGTACAACATTTACCACAACTGCACCGGCTATTGTGCGACAAAGTACGCCGATGTTCCTTTAGAACCTAGCAAGATGATTAGAAAAAAGTTTGAGCGACTACTTAAAAAGTATCCGCTAACTGATTCCGCTTGGGAACAAGTGTATGAGCCTGGCTTGTAAGTGATGTTCTTTTGATGCTCGTACATTTGTTAATACATTTGTCGTTGTAGAAAAACGTTTTACTTTTGGAACACTCGCACAGATCAAGTATCTTGGCTGCCACCATCGCATCCCGACGCCAAAATCACTCTGCCAGCTGAAAAATTACGAAGTAAGATTTTATCGGTATTTCGTCGTATAGAATTAACAATTTTGCTGCTGTTGCAGAGCTTCTTCGAGACGATATATTCACTGCTGAGGAAGATGACGAAGGCAATCAAAGCCTTGAAGAGGATGACGATGATGACGGCAGCAATGAGTCCAACGACGATTCTTCTGATAGCTCAGAAAACAGCTCCAGTTCATCTGAAGAAGAGAAGGTAGAAGCGCCCCCAGCAAAACAGGCAAAACAACAGCATCAGCAGCGACGACAGGCAATCTCTCGTGTGAATCAACTCGACCCAATGGATCCAGCTGCATACTCAAATATTCCCAGAGGCAAGTGGTCCGATGGGCTGCGGAACAACGATGATTAGAGAAAAAAGCCGATCTACGTAGGCATCTTTTATTGATTAAACAAAAAAGTATTCTCGCAAAGACTGTGGATAGAGTATCTTTCCGGTGGAGGGATCCTGGTAGTGCTCAAAGATGCACTTTAGCAGCTGAAGCACGTCCACCGCCGAGCTGAGAATGTGCCTGTTCTGGTGCTCCACCAGGCCGATTCGCGTGCTGAGGTAGGAGGCGTAGTGGGTGACCTCGCCCACGGGCACGTACTCCCCCGTGGAGTGCAGCCACACCGCCAGCTGGTACTTGGCGTGCTCACCCGCCCGCAGAGAGCCGACGTCCACGCGAAGTGACTGACAGCGGAGGCCGAGGCCGGCGGTGAGCGCCTGCCACCAGTGGCCGTACAGCTGCTCCATTGACCGGTCCGATCCCTGGGCGTCAGAGAGCACCGTACACCGTACGGCGTGCGTCTGTGTGAATGAGCGGCCGTAGTGACTGCCCAGCTGGAGGTACCGCCGAGTGTCCATCGGGTTGCCGGGCGGTGTCTTCACCAGCCAGCCGCAGAAGGCCTCCAGTGAGGCCTCGCCGACCAGGTGATGCTGCTGACCGACGTCGTCGCAGTCCCGGTCGCGGATCGTAAAGTGGTCCTCGACCACAGCCTTGTCGTCCACCGCCTCAACCACCGCCGACTTGACGATATCCAGGCCGCCTATGGGCACGTACTGGGCGGCTTCAAAGTGGTCGGCCAGCAGCTGCACCAGACCGTGAAAGGCCTGCGCTCCCTCGCCCACCAGATACTGGGCGTCAGGGCCGACGATGGAGGAGTGGTAGATGTTGTTCATATAGCCCAGGCGAATGTAGTTGATCACCGGGAATAGCTGCTGCTGTTGCCCCTTGAAAGCAGTGGCCGATCCTTCAAAGCGGTCAATCACCTGGACAGAGTCGGTCATGTCCTCGCGAATCGGCGCTGGAATCTTCAGCAGAAACGGCACCACCACCTTCTCCACTTGGTAAAAAGATGTTCGCGCTTGAAGAAGAGACTCTTTCAGCTGATCATGCTGTTTNGGTAGATGTTGTTCATATAGCCCAGGCGAATGTAGTTGATCACCGGGAATAGCTGCTGCTGTTGCCCCTTGAAAGCAGTGGCCGATCCTTCAAAGCGGTCAATCACCTGGACAGAGTCGGTCATGTCCTCGCGAATCGGCGCTGGAATCTTCAGCAGAAACGGCACCACCACCTTCTCCACTTGGTAAAAAGATGTTCGCGCCTGAAGAAGAGACTCTTTCAGCTGATCATGCTGTTTGTTGAGGAGCTCGTTTGCGGTTATTTTTGAACCATCATTATCAGTTGTTGATGAAGTTTTGCGTTTCTTTCCTAACAGTTTGTTACGTTTCTTCTTAATCTTTTCAATGGTTACATTGAGTTCGGCAAACTGAAGCAGACTGCTTCTCATCTCCTCCAGATCGATGTCTCCCGAATCGATGCCGCGTAACCTCAGACTCTGGCGAATGGACTCTAAGTTCTCGGCCACTGATTGAATGTAACTCCGGTCAAATGCCGGCAAGAGGACCGAGTACACATCTTCACTGGAGGAGAAGTAGAGAGAAGAATTGAAAGCGTTGCTGACGGTGGGCGTGCTGTAAAAGCTTCTCTGAGCTGAAATACTGAGGATGTACTTTAACCGGTGACATATTTGACGCGGAAATAACATGGCGAATGATCTGAAGATCAAAAGTTGTTTTGATTTTTGGTCAAAGTCACATGGCATTTTGTTTTGGCAATTTGCTTCTGAACAGGTGAGGCAGGTGGCAGCACTGGTGCAAAAGAGAAGCTCACTTTTCTGACATTGATCAAAAGTTTTTCATTATGCGTCTCAGACTACTGACCTCCTAAATAGTGGCGCTATTTC